CGCGTAATACAATGACATCAAACAGTGACACGCTCAAAAAAAAAAGTAACATCAAATAGTAACACACTCAACAAAAAAATAGTAACATCAAACAGTAACACAAATATTTTTATTGAGCGTATCACTGTTTGATATTACTCTTTTTTTGTTGAGCGTGTCTTCGTTTGATATTACTATTTTTTTGTTGAATGTGTCACTATTTAAAATCACTGTATTACGTGTATGTGTGTGTGCATATACATATACATACATATATATATATATATATATTATATATATATATATATATATATATATATATATTTTAAATGATACACAAATATTAAAAAGAATTTTGAAAATTTCGCATTCTAATTTTGAAAGTTTCACATTCAAATATATATGCACTATTTATGATAGGGGTAATTATAAAATATATTTTAGAAAAAATTTAAAAATATTTACTTATTGACAATTATTTGATAAAAAAATAGATTTAAAAAAAAATAAATTTAAATGTAGTATTTAAAACCAAATAAGTTTTTAAAAATATACCTACATCCCATTATGTCAAATAAGATTGACCTTTCTTCTCACTGCTACAAAGCGAGACGAATAGGGTTTTAGAAACCCCAAATCGAAGCCAGAGAGAGAGAGAGAGAGAGAGGTGTCTGCAGTTCTTCAACCCGGCAAGCAATTTCTACGAGACTCATTACTTTCATAAATTTGATTGATATTTTCATTACTTTTTGAAATTATTCCAAGATTTTCTGTATTTACAGTTGTGCCGATGTGATGTATCTTTATTTTGAATAGATAGTGTATCCGATTCACCGATCGTTTATGGGTGATTGCGCATTAACTGCTTTGGTTTGGTTGTCACTTAATTTTTCATCTAGCTTTCTTGTTTCTGTATATAGGGTTTTCAGAAATTGAATGTGGTACTTGAATGGTTTAGTAACAGTTCTTCACTAGGTTTTGCTTACTTATCATTTTGAACCGAGAATTTTGATGAAAAACTCTTAATGGGGAAATTCAATATCTGACAGTTCACATTGGGGACGAGGTTTTTGGCCATTCACTAGTTAAGGTCAAAAAAGCGTAAGAGAATGGACCCTAGATACTCAGGAGAGATGTTAAGGTAAACCATACAAAGATCATATTCCTTGAATTTGATGTGGAGGTGGTACATATCTTTATTTTTACCTGTTTATAATTTGGTTTTGTTTAAATTATTGTCTTACGCAGGCATTTGGATAAGCAGAACGAGCTGCTTATGGATGCCTATCGATCAATGTCACATGAATTGCATAAGCTTCAGGTTTTTCTATTAATCTTTAGTTTGATTTCAATTATTTGGTCTGCGTCTGGATCTATGTGTAGAATATATGTATTAGTTGCATATTGTGGACAATATTTTTTAGTTAAAAAACTAGGTAAATATCGATGAATCCAAAGTTGAAGAAATGAAGACATAGATGGCCCATTGGCACCAGCATCATTCATTCATCCCAACCTGTGATTGATTGCGGGTTTGAGTGTCCTACTCTCCCCAACCTCTTGTGTGTGTGTGTGATATAAGTTTTTTTTTTTTTGATAGGAAACAACAATTTTATTAATAAAAAGAGTGATTGTGTGTGATATAAGTATTGCAAGTAAAAGCTTGAAAAAGGTGTCAAATTGCATTATTTTTTTATTACATTTCATAGTGTCTCAAAAGTAGTATATCTCTGTACAAATATGCTTCACATAAATTCTAAGGCAGGTAGAAGTTGACTTGTGAGCTTATTCTTGTGGAAAGATATAGTTTTAATAATTCCTGAAAACTTTGATAGCATAGTTTGCTTTTGCAGTACACGAAGTTATAATTATCGCGTGGTTGAATATATAAATTTGTGCACATGTGTGAACTTTGAGATTTTTTGTAGGTAGAGGAAGAAATGTTGATGCGCAAGTTCTATGAACTGATGTCAACCCAAGGTCTAAATAAAAAGGTATGTGGATTCCTTAAGTTTGCATCTTCAGGCTGCAGACAGTTGGTCATATTTGTTTTCAACAAATCCATTGCTGTGTGGCTGAGTAAAATAAAATCTGCTGCCTCACAAATGGATTTTTTTTCACCATTGGTTTGAGGTGAACAACTAAGCATTATAGATACATGTACATGAAACTTTAAATACAAGTGAAGAATAATAACAAGAATCTGAAATACCCTGGTCATGTACATTAGCAAGGAATTTTCCGCTGAATTCCTTACCTGTACTCAGATCCTGAATTTGTTAGCATAGTAGTTTCTAAGACATTGCGAGGAAGGTATGATTTTGGATTGTGAAAGGGAAACTTTCCTTTTAAGTATGAACAGCGTTATTCAGGCATCAATGGCTGTTGAAGAGTAATAAATGGTTACTGGTAGAAAAAAATGTTACCATGTCACAATGGTGGAAGTAGGTTTTAGTTGATTCTGTAATGTTTATCTGTCCTATGGTCGATATGAATTTATTTGTCTTGATGTTCGATTGCAGTAATTAATGAGTTTTTCTGGTGTATGTTATTTTGCAGAATGACGATGGTGATGATATTCCTGATGATGGAGAGAATTGTCAAACCAGAGCATTAGTTAATGTGGCTCAGGATGAACAATAGTGTGCCACCGTGGATCTCAAGTACAATAAGTTCTGGCATTCACCATTTTTTTGGTTTAATTTATATTATTGGACCGAGTTATTAAATTGACACTCTCCCTAGCATTCATTTGATTTATGAATCAAATGCTATGCTTCCCCCAAAATGTTGTACAATTCAAATTTTCAATGCTCCCTACGCGTGTGTAACGTATTAAGAACAACCTACTTGCATGATATGTGTATGCAGAGTTGATAACATTGCCTTAAACAGAACACAATGGGTAGGGGTGTCAAACCGGTTAGGTTAAACGATTACGTGTCAGGTTAAATGGGTGACGGGTGGAAAATATATAAATTTGTACACGACACATTTAATAAATGGGGAAAAATTTTTAACACAAATATGATCCGTTTAATAAGCGGGTAATATGACACAATTTGTTTAACTCGTTTAATTTTAAAAAAATTATATTAATAAATTTTAATATTTTATTTTTTTTATTGTTAATTGCACTTACCTTAAAAAAGAGGAATTTTTAGTCAAATTTCATAAAAATAAAACTTAAAAGTTTAAAAAAAGAAGTAAGAGGTCATTGTATTTTATAGACAATTTAACCCTCTTCATCTCCCCTTATTTTCTAATATGGGACAAAAATAAAAGACATTGGTTTGTCTTTGTCTTTGAAGTTCTCCTCATCTCCTTTCTTTTGTCTTTGAATTAGTATTTTATTTATTTCTTTTTTATTGATTTATTCACTTCTTTTTTTTTTGTTAATTTTTTGAAATAATTATAAATTTATTATTATATTAATTTTATTTAAACGGGTAAACGTGATAAACTGTTTGATATGTCTCACCCGAACACGATTCATTTATTAAACGTGTTTAGCGTGTCAATCCGTTTATCACCCAAATCTATTAAGATCTCACTAAAATTTGTTTAATTCGTATCGATTAATTATGTTGTGTCAAATTTTGACAGCCCAAACAATGGGTGATTACAGGACGAGAACACATTACTATGATGTAATCAGTTTCTCCTGTGGGGGGAAAAAATTAACTTGTCAAATGTCGCGTAAAATATGGTATTATATTATAAATGATCTTTAACTCATGTCTCTTTAACTTTGAATTGTCTCGTATTAAACCTTAAACTATGTAAAATGTAGTAATTAGTCCTTTCCATTCGGTTTGCCATTTAAACAAATGGAAAATAAAATTCCATGAAACTTTTTTCAAGTTTTCCTTTTTCCTAATCGTTTACGAAACCCAACAGTGGACAAAAGGGTTAGCCACACTGAAGAAAAGATAATTAAAAAAAAAAATGGTTAGCCACACTGAGGAAACTAACGTAATTGATCAAGGTATGCACAACATTGATAGCCACTCGATTTTAGCTTGCCTCAAATGAGTTTATTATGCCTATTTTACTGAGGTTAGTGGTTGGTCTAATGACCATCACCTCTACTTTTAGATTTTAAGGTTACGGGTTTGAATCTCATCGCTCCCTTCTCTATAGTAATGTTGATTAAAAAAAAGAGCAATGTTATGTTAGCTAAATTATTTATCAAATTTTGTATATCAAATCAATGTGGATGGTTAGATCAGTAATTTCATAAAATATTCAATGTATAATATCACTTGCCATAGGCATAGGGGATCACTTTACTTACAAGTCCGGGCACCAAATTAGAGTGCAGTGAAAGTGTGTTGGAGCCATAACCCACAGGTCCGACGATCCATTGACAGAATAATTTTCCAGAGCATTGAAAGCTTAAATCTTCTTAACATCCTTGGGGTGAAAAGTTGGGCTTTTGACAATATAAATATCTACGGTTGAACCTGTTCATTTGAAGTCCTTCTACTTGTTTTGAAAGGTCTTCATTCGTGTGCCTCAAATTATTCACCTCCTCTCTGGCATTGGCAACCATATCACTGTGCAGCAGATGAAGCCATACATGTTCAGATGAATCTAACCAATTACATGCACATTCACAAATTCGAACATGTTTGGATATTTGAATTATCAATTCCATTTTCCTCTCTCTCTCCCCTATTTATTCTTCTTATACAAACTATCTATTAGAGTGATATGAAACAAAATTAATATAAGATCAAACAATTTATTTTCTTTTCAAATATGTGAAGATTTGATTTGATTTTTTCATCTCTCTCTTATTTTCTCTCACTGTTACTCTCTCTCTCCTTAATCTCTCTTTGTATCAACATTACAATAACATGATTATATTTATACCAATCAGTTATAATTGTTTTATAATACACCAAACAGTTATTCATGTATTTTGATAAACAAAAATGCGTTTAGAATCAAATAAATTTCATTAATATAGTTTAACTCAATTAAGTCTAAATTTTTATACACTATATCAATCAAACATGGCTTCCTACACTCCAAGAAGAATATACATGATCATCAGCTTCATTGTCGTGATCATCACTATCATACTCTTCTTCTCGCTGCACAGTTTGAGTTCATCAAACAAAGGGGAAATGATGACTGGTGGAGGCTACGAGCTATCAAGAATGGAGCATTGTGTTGGACTCTTCTTTGATCCTCCAAGATGGCTCTCTGATGATGAACGCATGAAGAATAAGGTGGACAAGAATCTTTATAGAGATATGTTTGGTGCAATTGGCGAGATACAAAACAAATGGGACAAATTACTTATTAATTATATTGAAGCCTTAAAAAAAGTTCCTCGATTTAAGAACACAAACGATCTAAAATGAGCTCCTTCATCGACATCATCCAATTCGTGATTTCACCTACCAAGTGTAATTCAAAGTGCCGTATGTTGATTTTTTTTTTTGTAGTCTAGAACTCGGATTCATTCGTGAATCTTGTTTTCTTGTATAGAGATATCATATTTACTAATCTTATGAAATATTTAAAGTCATTAGAGGCGATATTTCAATAGTTTTGTAATGTTGAATATGAAACGTTATTTCGATAGTTTTCAACCATCCTTTTGACATCATTGTAATGGTTATCTCATCAAACATCCAGATACACAAACTTAGACATATTTTGATTAATGAAAAATTTGGTTTTATTAGGATGATTTTGATTTCACAATATAGTTTCATCAATAACTTACCCTTAGCTTTCTATATAAAACAAGATGTCACCACTATAGTTTCATCATCTATTCTTATTTAACAGAAGAGTTGGTCTCTAAGCCAGCACATGTAACTCAATTTAATGAAATTGAATATTAATCAGGTGTTAGCTTGACAAATTTTTTAATTGAAAGTCAATTTGAAGAAGTTGAATATTAATTTGATAAAATTGAATGTATATTTGGCCTTAATTTTATAAAATTGACTATTAATTTGATGTCAATTTGATAAAATTTATATTAACTAGTTAAAATTAAATATGAATTTGATAAGATTGAAACAATTAAATATTAATTAGATAAAATTAAAAATTATTTTGACATAACTTAAGCTTAATTTCGTGTTGATTTGATGGAATTGAATGCTAATTTAGTGTTAAATTAGTAAAATTATTTTAATTTGATATTAATTTAATAAAATTTAATGTTAATTTAAAAATTCAATGTTAAGTTGACGAGATTGAAAGTTGATTTGAGAAAACAAAATATTAATTTGGTTAAATTGAAGGGTAATTTTTTTTTCATTTAATGAAATAGAATAGTGTGTTAATTTGATAAATTAAAATAATGAGAGAATTATATTCAAGCTTTCTAAGATTTGTCACTTAATTATTTATGTCCCTTGACATTTGAAATATTACATACAAACTCTCTAAAATTTGTGCGCACGTAACACTCAGACCTCTGCCGTCAATGTCAGTTAAAATATGCATTAGTAAATTATATTAAGGTTATGTGCGTACAAATTTTAGGTGTTTGCGTGTAATATTTTAAATTTTAGAGGTTTAAGTAATTAAATAACAAATTTTAGGGGTCTAGATGTAATTCTTATTTAATTAGCATTAAAGCCGTGCCTGACCCATTTATCAGGTTCACCCACCCATAAAAATCGCTCTATATATACCTCCCAAGTCCCAACGGGAAAAAAATATTCGCCTTTGTCTCTCTCTTTTTGAATTTCTCTCTCTCTCCCTCTCTTTGAATTTCTCTCTTTCTCTGAAACTCTCTTCCTCACAAGTGGTCGAAGGCTATCAGATTTGATCTCGCCTTCTTCGTAGAGACCGCCGCGGTAGCAATTACTATTCCTCCGATTAAACACATACCCACCCCCGTCGCCGCCACTACAAAACCCATAACCACCGCGGCCACCTCTCGTCGACGAGGGCTCCGTTGGGTCCAGTGACATCGATGGCCTTGGTCTGTTCACCCTCATGAATAACCAGCAATTCTATCTCTTGGCAATTCTATCTCTTGGCCTTCATAGAGAGTTCGAAGGCCATCGGATTTGAGCTACGATTTGGGGACGAAGAGATCTTTGCCTTCTTCGTAGGGTCTCTGGTCGTTGAAGCGGACCACCTTGACAATGATCTAGGTTTTCCTCCTCGAAAGAAACTGTTCTGCCGCAATTGCCAAATTATTTATAGAGATGTTCTGCTCGCTCGGCTTTATTTATCTGTTGCTTTCTCTAATGGTCCTAACTTGTTTGAAAGGTGAGTGGATTAAAGATTTCTAAAATCTTTGGTCATCTGTTGTTCCTTTTTTTTAGGGTTATTAATTGATCTTTTCCTATTATATTGGATTCTTAGGGTTTCGTTCTTGTGTTCAATCGCCTATGTTTCTTTGTCTTGGGTTTTTGTATAAGTCGAGTAATGTTTAGTTAACTCCGAAAGGTGAAGAATCCTCAGGATATTGTTGACTTCTTGTTCTTAAAAAGAATTTTTACAAGGAATTTTAATTGCATTGTAATGTGGGCTAAATGTAATGAGGATTTGATTTCTCTGGATTGTCAAATTATGGCCAAGTGCGAAGAAGTACTTGAGATTTGAAAGATATCATTTAATGGAGCCGAAATTTTTTTATTCGAAGTTACTATCTGTGTCTAAGTGTTCAGAGAGGATGCTTTCCAGCCCTTTGTGTAAAGGAATGTGATTGGCGTCAAAGTCTCTCTACAGCTCTGTTGTTACAAGGGTAATTTTATTTTAGGCTTATTAATTGATCTTTTTCTATTAAATTTGATTCTTAGGGTTTTGTTCTTGTGTTCAACGGCCTTCAGTGTTTAAATATTTCTATTTTCTTGAAAACAAGAATTGGTTGTTGATCTCTTATCCATAAGTAAAGTGCTGGTTGGCCATTCATTTTTCTTGGTCGTATTGAGGTTAAAGTGATAATCTTCTGGATATACATCATGTACAAAGAGGGAGTTTCATCCCAACTAACACATCACATCGGCTTTTCATGTAACTCGTGATGTTGTAATCTTGTAACTAGCAAAACATGAATGATAATTGCGGTTCAGCTTTAAAAAAAATAAAATAAGTAAAGTGTTGGTTTCTTATGCTTTTCCCTTTCTTGCGGTGTCAACTCATTTATTTTTGCTAATATTTTTGTTTCTTGAACTTCTTTTTGCTAATTGTTGTGTTTCTTGAATTTATTTTTGCTGATTAGTTTTTTTCTTAAATTGAGATTTGTGCCTTTTCCTCTCCTTTTTTTTTTTCCAAAAGAGATGTTTCAATCACTGTTAAAAAAATAATAATAAGAAATAGACTATGGTATTTGTGGACCATTTTATTAATGCTTGCCTTTTCAAGGAGAGCCAAATTGGTTCCATACTGTGATGATTGCATGTTACTAACTTAGCTGGCTAATGTCATAATAGAGGTTCTTGATGGAGTTGTTTATCGCCCATTAAGCAGCATATTCTAAGATGTAGAGGCCTTAGAGATATGGAAAACTTTTTATATGCGAATCTTACTCTTTGGATCTTTTAAGCTGAATCCTCATTGTTTGTTTTTTGAATCCCAGTGTTGTGATTGTGTGAGGTTTCAGCCAACTTTTTCTTTGTAGTCAGAGTTTTTTATGTTGTTTTTAACTAACATTTATTCTTTTTTTTTGTTGATCATGTTTTATGATATTGATTTATGTCTTTGAGACTATCTTGACTTGTAGTTACATGCTGCACTCAAACTGCCAACACTTCCAAAAACATTGCAATGATTAATCTGCCAAGAGAAGTTTGAAAAGTCCCATGCCTATAGTCTTGATAAAAATGTTTGTTTCTTTTTTCTTTCATTTCTACCTATCCGAGTTGCTAGGGCTGTTATCAACTTTCCCTGCAATGATTTTACATATCGTTTTGACTAACATAATCTCTTTTATTTTGGTTATTTGATTTTCCATTTTTCTCTTTCAGCCACTTCCATTTTGTTCATGAGTTTGTTACAATATTGATAGATTCTGGCATTTTGTTATTTGGAGTATTGCCATGGTTTTGTAAGGTAAGTGGCTCTTGTTGTGTTTTGGTGACCTCTTTTTTTTTTTTTCCCCTCAAAATACTTCCTAAGTACTTCATGTCATCTGATTTTTCATATATATAAGGGGGTTGGGGAGTATGTGGTTTTGACAAACATGCATGAATTACTTAATGTTTCTACATGTAAAGTTTTTATTTGAATCATTTTCTGAAGGGAATGTGTGGTTTTTGAATTATACCTTATGATTTAGATTTCAAGGGATTTCAAATAAGAAAAGATAATTGTTTTTTTGAATTATATCCGGTCGTCCGTTGACCATTGGTTAGGATGCCAGTATCAATAGGTCGACTAGTCCTGCCAACCGTTAAGTCCATTTATTCAAAATTCATATTTTTCGGGTTTCTTTTTCCACTTTTGTGACCATGTCTTTAATAATATTTACCTTTCTTGATCATTCCTAAAGTATTTAAAGAGTCCTGAGGGCATTAACTTGTAGCACTAGTTTTGGATACAGTAAACTCTTAACATTTTCATGTAATAAATATCATGAATACTTACAAGTTATATTTAGTTATATCACTTGGGGAGGGCAATTTAGCAATCTTGAGCTAAATATGAGCTCGTGCATGACTCATTTCATTCTTGTACAAGTGTTGTAGCTCGTGTGTCATTTCTTACATTGCGTTATGTGCAAACGAAAGTAAACTTGTATGTCTTGTGGGCATAGTTATCAAATCGTGTATCGGAAGACGTATCGTAAGATACAAATATTGTATCGTATCGTGTATCGTATCGTGTATCGTAAGATACGATGCAATTTTAAATAAATAATAATAAAAAAGTCATACACTCATAAAAAATATAGCATTTCATTAATACTCCACCAACTATTCAAGTTATCAACATAATCCACTACTATTATAATGCAAAGTTCACAACCATAGTTCACTAATTCAAACTTTAAACACCAAAGAGACTTCTAATCCAAATTTCTAACATCCATTTTGAACTCAATCTTCAACTTCAATTGAAAATGCATCATCATCATCATCATTGTGATCGGATGCCAACAAGTCTTCACTTCCTTTATCATCTTCAACTTCTTGTATTTGTTCATCCTCATCCTCATCCTCATCTTCAAGTTGAACTATTTGCTTTCCTTTTTTCTTGTATAAAATAAGATTTCTAGGCCCTACAAAGCAACCAATACAAAATATAAAAAAAA